TCCTCCTCCTCCTCCTCCTCCTCCTCCTCCTCCTCCCCTTGGCCGCCCCCGAATCCGGGCCCTCTCCCCGACGGCGAGGCCTCCTGTGGTTGTTGTGGGTGTGTCGACTCCTCCGAGGCGATTCGATTCGATCTCCATCGATGTTGACTCCAGTTCGACGTCGGATGCCGACGTGGAGTCCGATTTTTATCCGTGGAGGTCTTGGCGGCATGCCGATTTTCGTTGAGCCGGCTTCTCCCGGCCCGGCTGCCAATTTTTCTGCCGATCCGATGTGTTTCGATCGCCGAATCGACTTATCGATTCGATTCTGGGCCTTCTTGCCAGGCCCGGGCTGCGCGACGGGCACCGCGCGGACGGCGTGATCGTCAACGACAGGCTGGAGAGGGAGAGAGACGGCACAAGCGCAAAACGTTTGGACCGTGACGATCTACATGGGTGCGGAAAAAACGGGCACGGAGACCAGCTGCATTTCCTGCTCATGTGTAGCAGGATTTGCTGTCGGCGTTGCCGCGGAGGTCGTCCATTTGAGACAGACGGCCACCGGCCCAGCAGCGGCCGCCGTCGGTATTGGACAGCATGTGTTGTTGGGCATCGTATCCATGTTTTTTACCTAACAGCGAAGACTGATAGGTTTCTAGTTGACTCAAAAGAGCTCACAGATCACTCCACAGGGGGGTCCGGGCAGGTGTTGGGAGTTGCCGGGCGGCAGGGGGCCCCGCTCGTTTTTCACCAACAGTCACACACTTCGTGCTCTTCGAGTTCCCAGAACTCCATTCCCAGGCTCATTCTAAATAACCGGATGCAACAGTCACACACTTCGTGCTCTTCGAGATCCCAGAACGCCATTCCCGGGCCACCTTTAGAATAACCGGATGCAACAGTCATACACTTCGTGCTCTTCGAGTTCCCAGAACGCCATTCCCGGGCCACATTTAGAATAACCGGATGCAACAGTCACACACTTCGTGCTCTTCTATTTCCCAGAACTCCATTCCCGGGCCACATTTTGGATGCCCGGAGCCAACTGTAGGCCACTTCGTGCTCTTCGAGTTCCCAGAACTCCATTCCCGGGCCACATTTTGAATGCCCCGAGCCAACTGTAGGCCACTTCGTGCTCTTCGAGTTCCCAGAACTCCATTCCCGGGCCACATTTTGAATGCCCGGAGCCCACTGTCGGCCACTTCGTGCTCTTCGAGTTCCCAGAACTCCATTCCTGGGTAGGATTTTGAATGCTGAGGCCAGGGCTGAGGCTGAGGCTGAT